ATCTGGGTAGTTCCCAAAATTAAGGTCCCATTTTAATACCCCGAAATAGTAGGTGCCGGGATACAATCTGCAACCAAAAGGGGCTCCTGATTTTCAGAACAACCCATTTAGACCACAACGCCTGATGGTTCATGCGTTGGTTTTGAGTTTACCGTCTGGAGCTTTGGGGCCTTCTACTTCATACACAGAGCCCCCAAAAGGATCCCAAAAGATGGAGCCTTCCAATAATCCCCTAGTTTCTCCAATGTAGTCATGGGGATCATTTATTTTTGGGGATGGTTCCCTTTTTGAATCCTTTAGGGGGTCTGGGTAGCGGCCTCGAATAACGGTTAAACAGTCTGAGCCGCTTGGCCACCTCAGCAGGGCGTTGATGTGTTGAGGCGGCAGGCAAAAAGGAGGAAACAAGATTCCGGCAATTCAAACACCAAGGATCACACCAGTGACCCCAAGAGTCTGAACAAGAAACTTTGACGGTCTTCCAAGGCCCCGAACCCCAAACTGCTGAAAGAGTAGAAAAAATAGCTCATACCAGGAAAATACAGACTAAACGATTGAACTCAAGACATTGACAAGCCCTAACCCCAAACCCGAAACCCTTGGTATCCTAGGCCATAAGCCTTAGGTAAGCCTGTTGATCCCAAAGTGGAACCTCTCTTCTGACTTCACGAGACCCTATACCCTGAGCCTTAGACTCTGAACCCTACCTAGAGTAACAAATAAGAAAATGCTGTTGCACCTATGTTTTGGTGTCTCCCTGGGTAAACTCCAAATGCCATCCAAGGACCCACCAAGTCCAGTGTTGCGCCACAACCTCGATGGGACTTCAGCTAGCCCATGACTACTGTTTAGGGTTTAAAGTTCAGGATTTAGGATTTAGGGTTTAGGGTCTATGTTATGGTTCACCCAAGGTTTAGGAATAATGGAGAATCAAAAGGAAAGTCAAATGAAAAATGAAGTGGAATCTGGTGTATGTGCAATGGTTTCGGCAACTTTTCATAAACAGGGGGTCCCCAAAATAGGCGGCAATATACGAAAACCCAAAAGAGGAAACCCCGTTGTTTGGAAACAAGTTGGACACCGTTTTTACACACTCACCAATATTCCTCGGGAATCCTCAGCCCCAAACGCTATAGTCCCCCCAAAGTAGATAGAACATGGCTTTGGGTACCTTATTTTAAGATCCCGATATACCCCATAGTCTATCTACCTAATGAGGACTACAAGCCCTAAACCCTGAACCTTAAACCCTAAACCCTAACTAGTAGTTTCAATTTTCTTTTCCAGTGTCCCTATAGAACCCCTGTAACACCCCATATTCTGTCTACTCAAGGGGGGCTATAAACCATAAACACCAATTACCCAGAGCTGAACCCCACCTCGATGATGGCCGTTCTTGCTGAAGGAGAGATGGGGGGGAGTGGAGCTTCTGATAGTCCTTACAAAATCCATATATACCCCTAAAACAGCCCCTACATTCACTCCCCAAATCCCGAAAACCTATAAACTCCATGACAATATCTCTGTTCACTCCCCCAAAACGCCAAACCCCAAACCCTAACCTCAATAAGAATCCCTCTATTCACTCCCCCAAAAAACCCTTTTGCACCAGTGAATTTTTGGGTGGAACCTAAACCCTAAACCCTAAACCCCTAAACCCTAAACCTTGTTTTTGGGTGGAAGAGGCAAGGCGACCTTCACGGGCTGCTTCAAGAGGTACAGGCGGATGTCATTGAGAAGATGCCTTGGTAGTTAAGGGTTGAAAGGTTCAAACCCTAAAGCCTAAACTAGCTTTAATAAACCTATATACCTAGACCCTGAACCCTATACCTTGGGTTTAGGGTTTAGAGTTGTGGGGTTTAGCGCTTCAGTTTTAAGGTTGGGGGGGGTTTAGGGTTTAGAGTTTTAATAGGGTGTAGGGTTTAGGGCTTAGCATTCAGGTTTCAGGGGTCCAGGGTCCAGGGGAACCATGAAACCAAAGTGAGGGTGTTGATGATGATATACACCTAAACCACAGGAAGGCTGGTGATAGTGTATACGAATGTAGGGAGATACAGGGTTGGTTTAGGATTTAGGGTTTGTGGGGTTTTGGGGTCATTCAAAGGTACTTCTCAAGTAATGGAGAATCAAATGGGGAAAGAAAAACTTGAATGGCAATTGGAATTCTGCAGGGGTCATAAATCAAAAAGGGTTGGTTGATCACCAGTAACATAAAACCTGAGTTTTGATCATGCTTGGGTCTACAGCATAGGGATATTTCTCAGGCTTACAGACCAACCCTGTTTAGGAAAATCCGTTGAGGGGTGCAGAAGTACTCCTCATTAGATACCAGTTCTGTTTACCGCGCTGGTAACGTAGCATCATGCTAATCAACCCCGACTACTTAGAGGCTCATGGGGTTCCAGGCTGGGATATACGCAAGGCGAAAATATCCAAAACTTCAGCTGAGTACGCATGACTGCTTAACAACGTACCCTGAATCCTGCAGAGACTCCATCTAGAATTTACTGTTGATACTGAAGAACCATGCACGACCATCGTGTTCTGAATACCGTATAATTCAACCTGTAGGGTACTTTGGATCAGACAGGATTATTTGCACCAACTGTCGTGCCTCTAATCTCCAACTGGGAATTCACAAAGAGTGGTCCAGGCGCCTTCTCATTTTAGCGACGGTCAACATTCCTCATACTGCTGTCGAGAAATGGATATTCTTGTGGAGTGCACGGGAACTGCTTGTTTGGGTCCTACACTCCCCCACTCTAACATGAAAACCCACATTCAGTGGCCTTGTCTTTGCAAGACAATTATTTAATGGAGCCCTTTGTTGGAGCTTCATGTTAATTCAGGGGAATCCTACTCACCTAATCCATGAGCCCTATCCGAGTCTATACGTGTGTATACACATCCCCATATATCCTCCCTTTTGTGTAGATATACACATATATATAAATATATACCCCATATATTATCGCTTTCTACCCTCTTTACATAAATAAACCCTAAACCCCTAAACCCCTAAACCCTAAACCCCTAACCCCTAAATCCCTTTTGAACAAGGATTCCAGGGATAGGTGCCCAGAGAAGATCATGAAGCTGATGTCTTGGAAGCCGTGGGAGTACGCGATCATGCGAAGCCTTAGGGTTTAGGGTTTAGGGTTTAGGGAAACTTACTGGTTCTGAGTGGGGAATCAAGGAATAAAGGGTTTAGGGAAAATAGAGAGTGTTTTGTTGGTAATAAGGGCAGAAAGGCATATAGGGTTAAGGGCTTAAGGTAGGGAATAAGGAGATGTATGACATGGGTTTTGCATAGGGATTGTATTCCCTTACTCCTTACGGAGAACCACCAAGTAAACCGATACGAAACGAATCTTTGTATTTCACCGCCGTCGAAAATCCATAGGGTTCAGGATTTTAGGGTTTAGGGTATAAGGGTTCGGGGTATTAGGGATTAAAGTATTAGGGTATGAGGGTTTAGGGTACTAGAGTGTAAGGGTGTAGGGTAGTTCAGAGTATAGGCGCAAAATATTCCTTCCTTCTGCAGGGGCACCCGAAAACCCTGTAACATAGCTGTGCATTGCTAAGCTCGCAGAGAATAACACGCATTTGAGAAGCAGAAGGATCTTCTGGTTTAGGGTTCAGAGCTTTGGGTTCAGGGGCCGTACAGCGTTCAAACTTGGCTGCCACACCTGAAATTCCACCTAGAACTACCTATCATCCTTGCAGTAGTACGTGCATCTCACCCCCAAAAAAAAACGTTTCTCTGTGTTGAGGATTTAGGTCCAGTCTTCTGGTATTTTGTGTGGACTTTGACACCTGACTTCTACAAGAAGAAAAACTGGCACCGAAAGGCCTACCAAACCGCCCAGGAAGCCCATCCGCAGCCCCATATGCAAACGGCTCAGCCCGCAGGAGAACCCGGGCTGAGACCTGGGTGCATCTGGAAATGATACGTCCATGCTATGGCATCCCCGAAATTAAGGATGGTAGACTTGGGATTCACGGTTTGGGGCGTGGAAATAGGAGCTTCCGGATTATAGCCCCTAAACCCTAAACCCTAAAACCTTAGATCTCAGAGGGGTTGGCCTTCCTATTGATAACGCCATACCCACCTCATCGCCGGGCTTCTGGTTCTTGAGGGAATTGTAGGCTTCCACAAAACTCTTGCCACGCCACTCCTTAGCTAACGAACAAAGATCAAAGACTGGTGTATGAAAGTAGCTATAAGAGCCATGGCAGGATTTGAATTCATGATGCCCCAAATTGGGGGCCAAAGGAACCCTCTACAAACCCAATAAAACTGCCAGCAAAGCCCTAAACCCTAAACACAACCTAAGCTCATCAGGCACATGCCCAGGAGGAGGACCAGAGGATTCCCTGGCATCCGTGCTGACGAAAGCCAACTCCTGTGCTCTTGTGAAAGAATGCCGGCGGAGTGTGCGGTTTAGATTTTAGGATTTGGGGCTGTAGGGCTAGGAGTTTAGGATTCAGGGCTTCAGAGTTCAGGGTCTCCGATTTAGGACTGCAAGGTGTAGCGCTTAGGATTTAGGACCGTAGGATGAGGATCCCAAACTAAATGGGTGGGTTTCTAACTGTTTGCAACCAGCTTCATTGGCGAGGTCTTCTTTCAACACCAGTTGCAGCAACACACGCGACACCCCCGCTCGCGTGGGACGGGCAACAGAGCGCTGTAGCTGAAACAGCGCATCTTTGGTCTCGAGGCTGGCTACCTTGTCCAACTCCTGGGTTGCTTCAGGGCTTAGGGTTTAGGTTTCGGGTTTCAGGTTTAAACGTACTAAGGGACAATGGAGGATCAAATAGTAAAGAATTCGAAAATGAAATGGACACTCAACTTAGAGCTCGTTGGGGGCTTTGGCATCTAGGCTTGGGGTTCTGCTTTTGTACCATAGGATTTGGTGTCTGGGGCTTAGGCCAAAGGATCGAGTGGGGGTTTACGCCTGGTTACTTAGATGCTGGGAAAGACTTAAGTAGAAAGTAGCGGAGGCGCTCATGAAGCTTCTTGAACGGGCCATAATTTTGAAGTGTAGAGTAGGACTGAAATCGAGATACAGGATATAAATCCTACGGTCAGCATACTGATTGATCCCACTTTACCGGCCATATTTGCCCAAAGATTGCTTGCCGTTTCACGAGAATTCTCTTGTAGAATATGGCATGCGCATTGCTTCAAGCCCCAAACGCGAACGTCCCAGGTTCCCTACTACAAGTTGGAACCTTCACGTTTTCATATGACACCCGTACTGTACATCACTGTCATCAGATACGCAACCACAGTCCCCACGCGCATGCTTCACTCAAGATCGTGCCTCCCAAAAAAACCTGTGCACAATTTGATGCTGAGATTGTCCCAGGGTGTCCATCCCATGCTGCAGCTACCGTGCGCACATGCTGACAAACCGCAGCCTCAGAGTGCCTTGGATTATTCACACCATGTAGGAGCCTGACCACAACATAATGCAAGCTCCTAATCACAAACCCAGACTCCCCATGTTCCCAGCACTCCATGACTTCCTTTCGCTTCTCTGACAGGAAGGCCCGCTGCCCTACACAAGCGAGCAGAGAACGAAGTGCCAAGACCTGGCAGACACATAGACTTAGAGTATGTATATTCCCTCAAACCAACGAAGATGTCAATGCATTGGGAAACCAGTACATTACATAGGCAACAACTGTATTCATTCTGATGTAGTGCAGCACGCAAATGTGGTATCTACGCCATGTTTGCTGAGGACTCTGTGTCCTTAACCCACGCCAGTGTCTCAGCAATCTCATTATGGTGTTTTAGCAGAACATGCAGCTCGGAACCAGAGGATTTCAGCGGGATTCGGAAAGAGGTTTGTAGTATCTACGCAAGGACTGTCAAGACCATCTCTTGAAACACTGTGAGCCTCAATACTCCTTCGTCTGCTCACAGGCTGCTGTTTATCGAAGGCTTCTTCCCATGCTGGGGGATGAATGCATTGATCCATGGGCTCGAAACTACTTCCGGAAATACAGGGACCCACAAGGTGAGGCTAAAAAAAGAGCTCAAATCTTGAGGACTCAAAGATAAGGCTCTGTTCCGTTGAAGCATCAGACAGAGGCTTCTCCACACTGGCCTCGCTGGAACTATGAAACTGCGTGATCATACTTTAAGGGTTCCATGGAGCTCAGAGGGAAGTATGCATCAAGTTGGGATGCACGCCTGTCTATCCCACTCGCCGCGCGTACGCTCACGGAAAAATCAAGGAAATCCCTATACACTCTGACCAAAACCCTAAGCAAAATTAGGAACTGAAATTTTTGACATGATGGACCCCTAAACCCGAAACCCTAACCCAAAAAGCCAAACTCCTCAAGAGTATTGGGATCTCCGAGTTTAAAGAACAGATCTAACCCTTCTGGCACCTGCCTTCACGTTGACAGGATCTGTCAGGTTCGCCCAGGTCATCAGTTTGCCGTAAAGAGGGTCTCTCTCATGGCCCCAAAATTTGCCGGACACTTGATCAGAAAGGCTTCCCTTCGTATCTGAAGTCCTGGGTGTTTGGGGCCTAGGGTTAACGGTGCATGGCCTACCTTAAACTTAAGATCACAAAACCAAACCCAGACCCTAAACACTTGCTCGCACAGACTGCCAGGGTTCACGTTCCCGGCCATGAACGACTCCCACAAGTTTGTAGCCCCATCATCCTGCTCCCACTTCTCCACCACCGCCTTTGTCAGGGTCATGGGCTGAAGGCCTAGTGTTCATAATTCGAGCCCTCTACCACTACACTCTACTTCAATCCCTACACCCTCAACCCAACACTGCTAAATGCAAAGGCTTCGATTTGGGGTGAGGGTCTGGTAGGGACCTGAATATCCTATCTTCAGTTGCCTGACATCAAAGAATGGTCCTACTTGCAGGTTCATGGGACTTAGGGGCCTTTAGAATATATTTGGCTTGGAAATTACTGAACAACTAACTAGCTTTGACTGGCCTTACAACCTTACTTATGCTCCTGCTAGATGGCATTGTGAGGCATACTCCAACTAGGAGTCTAAGCAGAGCCTTCAGGGTTTAGGGTTTAGGGTTTGGGTTTTAGGGTCGAGGGTCTAACCTCAGTTGAAAGTAGTTACGAAGTTCCATTAGATCCTAAACCCTGAACCCTAGTAGCTACAAAGTTCCATGAACCTCCAAGTATCCACCCTATACATATACATATAAATATATACATATATATATCTACCGTATTATAGCATAATAGTTGCCATTGCTTTCTCCATCATCCCTATATAACCGATATATACCCTACCGTAAAGCCCCCAAATGAGGAAGCAGCTGGTAAACCCTATCCCTAAGGGTCCATGTACCCAAGATTTGGGTACTTGGGATTTGGGTAATAGTAATTGAAGTACGAGTTTGGGGTAAGTATATGGTTATTGGGTAGTTGGACCCATAGATTATTTGACCCCACTTTTTGCAGTTTCCATTGTCTTTTCCATTATTTCTGGGGATGGGTTGCTTATCAAGATTGAAAGCAAAACTTGCGGCAAAAAGCTTGAGAAAAGGCGTCAGCTAGAAACACATTTCGGGATTTCCCAAAAATTAGGGGTACCATCTTGGGGGTCCCTATAATAAAGGCTATTGGGGTTCCCCTATTTAGGGAAACTACCAATTGCAGAAGAGACCCTTGCGACCCTGCCCCTATTGCCTACACCACGAACTGCTGATCCAATACTAAATTCCTCCTGCAGTGTCTTCATCCCCACATGGTAAAGTCCTTACGTAGGCGGACCCCAATCAAGATAACAAAATACCATACTCCTTATTATGAGGACCCCCAATAACTTTGGGAAAACCCTATACCCTGAACCCTATTCCCTAAACCCTATATAACCCCTGCATATCCTTATATGATCCCTATAACCCTTTTAAAGGTACCCCAGACCCTAAACCCTAATCCTAAACCCTATATAACACCTATATGTCCTTATATGATCCCTATAACCCTTTCAAAGGTACCCTATACCCTAAACCCTAATCCCTAAACCCTGTATAACCTCTATATATCCCTATATAATCCCTATAACCCTTTTAGAGGTGCCCCTAATTTTGGGGAAAAAAAAACATTCAAGTCCCTTGGTCCAAGCCCTTGAAGCCAGCCTTGCTGAAGAGGTTGATCTGCGCTTTAAGGAGCCCTGAGCTTGGAGGTTTGGACATGAGGTTCAGGGGTTTAAGGGCTAGGGTTTAGGGTTGGGGCTATCTAGAGATAATGGAAAATAGAATGGAAACTACTATAGTATACTAGGATTTAGGATTTAGGGTGCAAGGTT